CTCTCTCTCTCTCTCTCTCTCTCTCTCTCTCTCTCTCTCTCTCCTCCGAAAATCAAAGCTATGCGATTGAGCAGCAACACATAATTTGAACGCTCACACAAGCTTTGCAGAAGACATACTTCTACCAATGGGCCTCCATGTTATTTTGGATTAGCTCGAGGACAGAAATGTCAGAGAAATTCAGAATCAGGTTATCCAAATTATACAGAAAGCTTCCCATAAAATGTCCTTCTCTTTTCCTCTAAGAGAAGCCTGATATATTCATCTAAAGGCATGACAAATTGACCCATCTCTTTAGAGTCATAATAGAGTGTCTATTAAAATGCCTTGGAGTTTTCCCGACTTTAATCAACTTGAAATTCCAGATCAATTTTGGATTATTTTTTAAAAATATAGCTCTACTCCTCCCCTTCCCTTCCACTGAGAACAATATATTTTTACTTGCCGTTATTTATTAATGTGACAACCCTCACACCCAAAGAAGCATACACTTTGATTTTTCTACTAATAAAATGTCACTTGTGCAGCCAAATCTGAACCCAATCAGTGGCCATTTGGGATTTTACACTCGATTTTCATTTATAATCTTGAATTGGTTGTGTACTTTTTGGGTATGTTATCAAGGCAAAATTCCACAGGCTGCATTAAATACACAATTAAATATAGTAATACAGACTTTTAGTTAGGGTCCTTTTTACATAGTGCATATAACAATTTAATCAGCAGAAATAAAAGACTTCAATTCAAACTTACTTTTTGTTTGAGTTCTCTGGGTTACACTTATACATAGGTGGAGTAAACACAGCAATTAGTGCAACTTATTAAGAAGGACTTTTTCAGCGATGCACGCATAAAGAAACAAGAGACTAGGCTGGGTATACGCAAAAATGCAGCCAGTGTTGTCTCTGGGGTTATGAATGCTTTTCATTTTCTTTGATTTGTTTAATTCTATTTTCCAAAATGAACATGTGTTTTCTTTTGTAATATGAAAATAGCAATTAGCGCTTTATGAAGGCTGTCTTTTAAATTGGCTCCACTTTACGCTTTGCCTATAGGCACACGGACAAAAAGTGTCATTAAAAAGAGTCCCACGGTTTTGTACCTTGCACTTGTAAATTTAGAATGATTTCATCGGACCCCCAGTTGTTGTTGGCGACGCAGCTGTAGTAGCCAGAGTCTTCCGCCTTCACAGTTCGGATGACGAAGCTCCCGTTGCTGTAGACGCTCCTCCGCCCATCAATCGTTACCAAGCTGGGCGTCCCGTTACTGCCTCACAGGAAGAAAAAGGCGCAGATTAAAGAAATTACAATCCAAATTAGCTGAGGTTGGGGAACAGCAGAAAGACTCTCTTTGAAGCCAACAACGCTTTTGGGAGCTTGTATGAAGTAACAACTAAACCATGCGTATAGCACAAGAAAAATCAGATAGCACAGTTTTGTTCTTTGTAGAAGACACTGTGTTAATATGAGGTCTGTGTCGAGAGCCTGGATTCTGGCTCCTCACGTAGGTCCATGCCTGTCGTGTCCCACCTAGGCACTGGTGACTTCCTCTTCTGGGGAATTCCTTCAGGGGGCAGAAGTGCCATGTTGACCAAATCATATAGGGACAAGTAAATCGGGGGATCTCTTATAGATTCACTTCAAGTTACAGATATTAATGATTTTGACATAAAAATGAACTGTGGTATGTCAAGGGGGTGATGAGTTGACCCTCGTATGAACAGAGTTCCCTCGCCATCATGACCACCATCACGATGGGGATGGTTCAGTCATCTGAGGCCATCCCCTCATCAGGCAGCATGCCACCTGGCCTGAGGAGTGTGCTTATTTCCTTCGGATTAACTGACTTTTAAAAGGATGAGAAAAGTGGTCACTGGACCAAGACTATTATTTCAATAGTTTATGTCTTTAAATGCTTTTATTTAAAAATAAGTACTTCTCTGAATCCATTTCATATCAAATCTCTATGCTCATCAGTGAATTCTCAATCCTTTATTTATAACCCAATTTCTTCCTCCGAATAGAGATTAAGCACTTTAAAAAGGTACAAGGACAGAACAGATCTCACCCACTTTCTCCCTTCTGTCTTTGCTGCTATGATTTTAATAATTACTATAGAGTATAAAAAACCAGATTTCACATTAGCAAAGTCCTAATGTATTTCTTACATTTCTTACAGTTACTTCTCAGAGCATTTCAGTTAGGGTTAGTTGGTCCATTATCTCGGAAGGAAAAAATATGGGTGCTGTGTCTTAGATAACCTTGGATACCTTCAGCTTAGCTATATAAGAAATTTACATGATACGGTACAGAAAACTTCCACAGAGCATATTGGGTTGGTCAGGCTATTTTCCTTGCAAGCATTCTCTTATGAATTTAAAGGCTCTGAATGTATAGAGGATTTACATAATCTATCAGATCCTTTTAGTGCTAAAGCTGAGATTCCTCCCCTTCCCCCACCTCAGAAAAGTTGGTGGGTTTTGTAGCTTTCACTAGTGAAAATGAATACAAAATAGGACAACTAGACCCAACACAGTGACTCGGATGTAATCTCTTAGAGTGGCACTAAAGGCATACATTGGGTTACTGGTTACCTGTCTTTCATCCATTTTACTGCAGGAGAAGGATCCCCAACAGCTTTACAAGGCAAGGCGATGTCTTTCATCCACGGAGTGGTCACTGTGCCGCTGAAGGTCAGGATTCGTGCGGGAGCTGGAACAACAACCAGAGGAGAGGCCCTATTGATTCACAGGTTTGTCTACATAGACCTCACAGTGACTTTCTCCAACACAGCAACGCCCCAAGAAACGGTGAGTGCAGAAAGGCTGATTCACATTACACCTGTCAACACGATTCTCTGACATCAGGGGTTTTCATTTTAAGAACACACAAATACCTGAAAAACCCTAGTGTAGCCTATTCTCCCTTCTATCGACTAAATGTGAGGAGCCCCAATTAAATATTTGGGGCTTCATTAGACCAGCAGCTCCAAGCTGTGTTTTCTATGAGCCCAATTATTTTTCAAAGCACTTTATTAAACAATCCATCTCAACACCCAAAACTGCACATTAAAATATACTTGTAATATCTGAGCAAATAGACAGTACAAAACATAAAGCTCCAAAAGACAGGAAGAAGTAAAACCGAAACAACTTCTATTTATCAATATTGTGGTACTTTCCTGGCCTTATTATATCAACTTGATCTTCAGCACAGACATTAAGAAAAATGAATGTTTTCAGAGTGGCCTCTCTTGAAGAACAACCCTTGGCTTGGGACAGTGATTCAGGTGCTCAAGCAAGAGCCCCCCCCCCCCAGGAGCATCTGACACTGGTGCAGTCCCAAAGTCGCAGGAGGACCCAGGCGGTAGAGAGGAGAAAACCCGTGGTGAACCTGTGTCAGCAGGCACCTCCTGGCAGACCGGTGGGGCCCAGCACAGATAGGTTCCCGTGCCACCTTCTTGATGAGGCACAAAAGCTGACAGAGGCACCAAGACACCAGCTATGTGACCTTGACCACGTATTGGGACACTGCTTTGTGGGATGTCCCCTCCAGAAGCTCAGCCCGTGCTGATGCATAGACATGCAGGTGGAATGTCACCTCAATTTGATCCTGGACCTTTAAAGATGGAACCAGTGTTGGGACCCCCACACCATTTCTGGTTTCATTGGTCACTGGGCTTAAGGAGCAGACTTGCCCAGAAAGCCCTGGAATTCCAGGAGAGGTGGGTCTAGAACATAAGCCTTGTTATGAAGTTCTACTGAACAACTCCGATTTTTGTTGTTCCGAGTGCTGTGGGCAAGAGCAGAGAGAAAGAGGAAATGCCAATGGGCTTAGAAACTGGGCCTGTTCTGTGCAGCGAACATTACAGAGAAACCCAACCATGTGTTTGAAGCAATGTTCCCCGACAGAGGGGGCAAGTCAAGCTCCTCCTCCTCACAGCAGGGTCTTCAGAGCGGGCCCGTGATGGCACCCTTTCCCACGGAATGGAGTATTCTAGGGCAGAGACTACTTCAGAAGTCACTGACATTTCTGATTTGCCATCACGATGACAGAAATATCCTGTTCAGGTGGCTTTGGTTGTCTGGCATTGGTAGTTTGGCATTTTCCCTTTCAAACCCTTCAGGTCATCCTTTTATATGATTTCTCCAAGCGAAATGGGAGTGATTGCGGGAAACCCAGCTAGAGTTAGGGGCTGTCAAGCTTTCTAAGAGCCCTCTCCCTGCTTTAAGAAATATGTTTTACATTAATTCCAGAAACTACACAGAATTTGGGATGGGTGCGTGAGTGAAGACCAAGTTCTACAAATTAAAACTTACTACATATGATGCACGCTGATATTTTCTATTCCCCACTGCCGCAAGTCTAGCCTAGACTATTTGACTCTCTTTCATCCTATCCATTCTAGTTCTTTACTATGCTGGTTAGAATCCCTAACATTAATTCCAGGACTTAGGATTTCCAGTCGCAGTTTGAGCAACAGCAGCTAGAACACCGTCTTCAAGCCCAACACACCCAGTTTCTAGAATTCATGCCCATTTCTGCCAGTTGGAATTTAAAGGGTCCCGGTCCGAAATTCTAAGATGAGGCAACAGAACACACCAGACCTGGTTTTCAAATCAGGAACAGGCAAGAAAACCATCTAGAATCTGTGAGAAATTCAGATTCCTACTCTGGCCCTGTGATTCACTAGATCTCTGGTGGGCTCAGGAAGTCTGTTTAACAACCTCCTCAGGTGACTCTCATGAGAACCTGTAGCCCATCTGCAACCTGGACACCCCTTCTGGCTTCTGTACTGCTCCCAGCCATGTGTGCTCTCTGGGTCTGCCCCTGGCCTGGGCTCTTCCCCAGGACTGTGTTCCTCCGGATCTGGGTCCAGGGTTCCATTCTTCACTCCCCGCATAACAGCTGCAGTCCTTTTCTTGACCATAACTTGGGAGGTTGAACCCTGATACCTGCCCAGAAATATCTGTGTTGGACTGACTGTGTTATTACGTTAAACTACTGGAAACTTCTGGAATATTTCCTCCAGCAGTCAGGCTCCTTTGACTAAATCACTCCTGTATCCCTAATATAGTGCCTGACATACAACAGGCACTCCAAATGATTTATTGAATGACCAAATGACATTGAGTCTCTCCAGACAAGTCAGTTTTCAGTTGTGCCCCTCTATGTCACATCCTACCACATTAGCCAGGCCATTTCTGGCATTATCTGGAGACATAACATTGAACACACAAACATAGGGAAGAGATAAAGCTATTGCTAAACCTAGATCTTAGGTTGTATATTTTTTTTATTTTATCCCACAGTGCAGTCCTTATACCCATTGATGATCACTGTTCTCTTGATGCTAGAAAGTGCGTATTAGGGCTAGTTGGATATCATGATCAAAGAGTACAATAGACAAAACTATTCCACAAATTTATTTTCCTTACCAACAATATACTTATTTTCTATCTGTAGTCAAAGTGGGACACCACCCTCTTCTCCCCTCTTTCTCACCTATCACCTTAATAAACACAAGAGCTCTTAGAAGTAAAACTGGAATCTTGGAATGTTCATTTTCCCTTCCAGGCATCTATAACCCTTATTAGTAATAAATTGCGAATGTGCTATATCCCCAAATCAGGGGGCATCTCCTGTTAGCCTGAATTGTGATGTAAATACATTTACTCATGACGAGTGGTAATTTCGGGGGACCCTAATTACCAGAAATAGAATAAGAATATTCTGCATCCCTACACATGTGCTTTTCAGAACCAGTAGAATATCTCAGTGTGAAGAAACTACATTTACTTTTAGGAACTTTTGCTATTTGATGCCTCTAACATCTCACTGTTACTTAAGAACTTTGGTCATAGCATTCTGTCAACAGAAGAAGAGCTAATGATTTTCGTAATTTTTTGTAAGTTTCCAAGTTCCATAGACCAAAATACAGACGATTCCCTTTAAGATGTGTGATACCTGATTTTGACGAAAATAGAACTTCCTTGGGAAGCTGCCATGTCGTGATTTTCACCTATGCAAAGGGGTGAGTGGGGACTCCTTTCTCTAATTTTCCCAACCCGGACACCCTGAGTTGCAAAGCCATTCACCCTCGGTGCTGGGCTCACCTCTGGGAGGATTATTTTCTGATTTGCACAAAAGCCCAGTGCCAGCCAGGAGCAACACTGTTTCTTGGGCTGAAATGTGATAATTTGGGTTACTTGCTTTTTCGGGCATTGTCAGATAGAACAGAGACCTAGAAACAGCCCAATTACAATGGGAAACAAGGTCTTCACTATGGCGGCGCACCTTTGGCTAATGGCTCCACTGTGATGATTTCACTGCTGTTGCCTCTCCCAGCTGACGTCACAGCCACCACCCAGACGCTGTACTGACGATTCCGACTCAGGTTAGGGATTCTGTAGGAAAATGAGTCAGGAGAGGCTTCAAACTCGCTGATCACCTGTGAGAGGAGACATAAATGTTCCCACATTCAAGGAGGCAAGTGGCACATGTGGATTTCCTAAAAGAACGCTGATTAACATGTTATCTCCCATGGGAGACCAAAGCCACCACTCACCCTTCTCTGAACGGCTGGATTTGCTATATAGGTGTCTCTCCCCTTAGTCTACCTTTCTCTACATGGCAGCTCCTCCGGCCACCAGTGAGTGATTTAACCCTTTAAATTATGGAGTAACAAGACCTGGATGTACCCTCCAACCCGAAAGAACCGAAGAACAGACAAATTATAGGAAACAACAGGTTCAAAGGCATTGCACATCAGGTAAGGAAGGACAGTGATCTGTGAAATATGGGAGACAGATGCGGTAAGGCCTATCCCTGCAGGGATGGCATATTTTTGTGAGAGTTTCCAGGCCATGGCACTGAGATGGGAACCCAGGAGGAGTTGAGCAGCTGCCCTGAGCTGTGGAGACAGAACTGAGAGACTGGGAGGGAGCTAGACTCACAGGACCAAGGGCTGGAAAGAGGAGAGCTGCACAGAGAAAGATCTCAGCTGAGCAGATCTGAGCATGCATGTGAGGAACTATCTGAGGCCAGGAGAGAACCGCCGGAAAGGACTGGGGATCACAGCGTCCAGTGTTCGTGCAGGGCTGGGACTAGTGCCCGCCCCACCAGCCAGCCTGGAAACCCTCCAGGTTCATGGGATGTTGGATGTAGTGCATCATGACCTTGCCTCAGTGGTGGGGGACAATTAGCCCTAGATTGAACACCACACTGGTATGGCCTAACAAATATTGAAGTTAAATTCACAAAGATCAAATTGTCACTAAGTAACTTAGCTGCTTCCCAGAGCAAAAGTAAAAAAATATTTATGGGAATAAAAATAGGCAGTACCCAACAAGGTAAAATTCACAATGTTTGACATCCAGTAGAAAATTTCCAGATACGAATAACTCGAATATCCATCAACCGATGAATGGATAAATAAAATATCCATGTAGTAATAACTCAACAAAAGAAAGGAATGAGGTACTGATACCTGCTTAACTTGGAATAATCTTGAAAACATGTAAAGTGTAGAATGCACTTGAAAGTAGAATGCGATTAAGTTCAGGGTGTATACTATTAATCCTAAAGAAGCCACTGAAATTACAAAATAAAGAGCAAAATAAAGCTAATAAGCCAACAAAAGAAATAAAATGCAATTATAAAAAACATTCCATTAATCCAAAGAAGTAAAAAAAGAGCAAAAAGGAAACAAATAGGGCAATAATTAAACCAAATAGCAAGACTATAGATTTAAACCTATATTAATATATCAATAATTATACTAAGTGTGATGATTTAAAATCCTAATTAAAGGCAGAG